TGATACACCCATCCCAATTACCCCAGTCACTGAATCAATCCACCTCATAGAGGGTCTTCCCATCCTACGCTGTCCCTCCACCCTCCCAAGCATGATGTCCCTCTCTAAGGACCTGTTCCTCCTTATAACATGTCCAAAGTATGTCAGACAAAGCCCCAGAATCCTTGCCTCCAAGGACTAGCCTGGTTTAACCCTCTCCAGGATGAATCTGTTTGTATTCTTGGCAGTCCATGGTACATTCAATAATCTTCTCCAGCACCACAGCTCAAAGGCATCAATTCTCCTTCTATCCTCCCTAGTCATAGTCCAACTCTCTGATGCATAACAAGTGATTGCAAAGATCATAGCCTGTATCAGATGCACCTTAGTCTCCAGAGAGACACCATTGCTTTTCAATACGGTGGAGAATTCTCTAACAGCAGACTTTCCCATAGCAATATGCGTGTTTTTTTTTATTTCCTGGCCGCTGGTGCCAAGAGTGTTGACTGTGGAGCCAAGCAAACTAAAGTTGTTAACAGTCTCAATCTCTTCACCATCAATCCTGATGCTGCCAATTGGTCCAGTGGTGAGAATCTTTGTCTTCTTGACATTGAGCCTCAATCCATACTGAAGGCTGCAGTCCTTGACCCTCTGCAAGGATAATACCTATAAAAATATTCAGAAATCATCAATACATCTGGGAGTTGTCATGAGGACTTAAAGTTGAAAGCTAAATAAAGCAAGCATTCCCTGGAGGTGTCTGTTCACTGCATCTCATCTCAACAACTGAAAGACTTTCCTTCCTATTTTTAATTAATATAAATAAAAAAGGGGAAGTAAAAAACAGACTTGGTGTGCTAATCTATTGAAAAAACAGATTAATGCCTCTTTTATTGACAAAAAAGACACTGGATAAGAGGTAATTCTGTAACAATGAATGCATGAAAATTCAAAATCTGCAAATGGTCATTAAAACTAGTAAAATAAAAATTTTTTAAAAAGAACAATAAATGATTACATTTTTAAAAGAAAAAAAATTTTTTAAAAACCAAGAGTCACTTTCCAGCCTGGTTCTGGCCCTATTGCCCCCTCAAAGAAGGGTGGTGAGAAGAAGAAAGGCCATTCTGCCATCAACGAAGTGGTGACCAGAGAGTACACCATCAACATTCACAAGCGCATCCGTGGAGTGGGATTTAAGAAGTGTACTCCTTGGGCACTAAAGGAGATCTGGAAATTTGCCATGAAGAGGATGGGAACACCAGATGTTTGCATTGACACCAGGCTTAACAAAGCTGTCTGGGCCAAAGGAATAAGGAATGTCCCATACCGCATCCATGTAGGTTGTCCAGAAAATGTAATGAGGATGAAGATTCCGCAAACAAGCTGTATACCCTGGTTACCTATCTACCTGTCACCACTTTCAAAAATCTACAGATCGTCAATGTGAATGAAAATAGCTCATAAAACTGTAAAAAAAAAACCACCCCAAAACAAAACAAAAAACCAAGAGTCAAGGAAACAAATTGTAAACAGTTAAAAAGATAGGGAACCTACTTTTAAAAAATTATGCATTGGTTTGCATACAAAATTTGAATACATTGTGCATTGTTCATGTACATTGTTTTAAGTATTCCTACATTCACATTGTTTTTCAAACAATAACTCATATAAATTGTGTTTAATAAAATTAATCACCATGGATTGATGCCTACTGTTACCCCATATTTTCAGGTCCCCATTGGATCTTTGAAACAACTCCTTACTGTTTCATAGAACTTTTAAAGGAACTTTCAGATTCATAATCTTTTCTGCTCATTTCAAAATTTTTGTTTTGAAAGCAAATATTATTCTTCTTATTTTCCAGATTTGAAAAAAAAATGCAAAAAATCACTAAGGCCCATGAATACAAAGTGATTTTCCAGAGTTATGATGAAAATTTTCATGGCAGACTTGGGGCAATAATCTAATTCTTCCAAATCACAGACCCATTGCCACACCACACAGTGATATTTCAGATTCACACACTTCATAAAATTCTGCTCTTGTTCCCATTCGAGGATGCTTCTCATATTCTCCTTCCTATAAAGAGTTGATATGCTCTACAAGAGCTCAGTTAGAAGCTAAGAAGAAAACAGGATATCAATGTCCTAAACAGCTCTCCCTTCAGTCATTTCTGAGGCTCTCTCTAGTCTTACAGGCATCTTTGTGCCTGGAACTTTCTTCCTAAGCAGAATACTATTGACTACTAACAATCCAGCAGAAGTAAGAGTCAGTTCATGCTTTCTAAATTACCAACTCACTATACCTGGTCCCTAGCCCTGTAAATAAGAATTGAGAATTTTAATTTGCTAAGTCCAATAGTAATGGCATACTAATGAAGGGAAACCAAGCACAGAAGGAGAATGAAGAATGGGTGTTAAATGAGATGAAGTAGGAAGTATTTAGATATTTATACTTCCTATTAAAAAATGGATTCAGTTACTGGGGTAATCGGGATGGGTGTGCCAGAGGCAGTGCGATTGGCACAGGATAGAGCAGGGTTTAGGGCTGTGGTACATAGGGCCACTATGAGTCACAAACAACTCGACGGTGCATAACAACAACATTAAAAAATTAGTAACTGAAATTTCCTGCCATTGAAAGTGTTCAAGAAGAGGAAGGATGTACATTTTCCTGTGATTTTATAAAATTATATTGAGTTTTAATTGTAAGATTGTATCAAAGCAAAGGTTTTCATTGTTTGCCTATATGACCTTTAATTAAAGCCAATGTTCTTTCTAAAACTTACATAAACAAGCATTCTGAAGAAGTTGAAATAGTTCCACACATATGACATCTGGTGTATTGTGAATATTGGTTTAAAATTGAAACTCATTGTTTTTTAAATGCATGTAGTGGCTTCAAATACCATAGTGATTTGATACTTAGACCATTAATTCTCTTTGTTAAGATTTGAGTGAAAGTTTACAGAACAAATTGGTTTTATATTCAACAATTCCTACAAATTGTCTCCTTGATTATGAACCCCTTCTTGTGACATCACACTTCTCAACCTCTTCCTATATTACAGTTTAAATTAAACTGTATTTCTTATCCCTTCTTGACTTCTGGGAAAATGTCACATTTTTTATCTTGTATGGTTAGCTGTTTGAAGAAGTGTACTCCATCTTGGTATTTCTTTAGTATATTTTGGGTCTCTTTGGCTGGAAGTTGAGTCTTGGGGGGATATCTTAGTTACAGGATTGAAAGGTAGTAACTACAGGCTATTATTGCCTCAGTGGTGGGAAAGTGTTTCAGCAGCCTATCAGGCAAAACAGGCTAGTCTTTTTAACGGATTCAATTTTAAAATGCAAGATAAGGAGCATCTTTTATAGCAATAGGTTTCATATAATGTGTTTCATATAATTTATTAATTTAAAGGTGCATATATAGTCATCTTTCCCTATACAAATTTTAGCCCACTGTGATAATGTTTATGCTCAGAAGTCTTTTACAATCATCCATCATCTCTCTCTGTAACAGCATATAAAATATATCTTCTCTGCAAAGTATAGAAAATATATTTGTAATCCCTTGCAACCATAAGATTTGAAGTATTAATTTTTAGATAATTTATTGTAGTTGTTAATCAGTAAATAATAGACAACAACAAATAGCTGACTGCCACTGAGTTGAAATTGATGTATAGGTGACCCTCCAGCAGTTTTCAGAGTCTGCAAATCACATGAAAAGAAATGGTGCATTTGAACTATGTCCCTTTCAGAGGGCAGTGCAACTCCTTACCCACAGCTGGTTAAAAGAATAGAATTCTTAGATTGAACTTTAATATATTGTTAGTATTAACCTGTTTTGACCTACAAAAATGTCAGTTTCATATGGTTCTACATAATATGTTGCAAATTAAGAAAATAATTATTTAATCTAAATACTAGTTTTATTGGAACGTCATCTAGAGCGGTGGATGGATTTTATTTTTCAATTAGCTCATGCATTTATTAATTATTGCTTGAATGAGCCAAAAATCAGCATCAACTCAATTGTTTTTTAGTTGTTATAGATGTAGCATTTGTTCACATAAATAAGTAGATTAAAAAATTCAAAATGGCAGAAACCACAGTTTCTGTATATTATTAAAATTTTTTCAGTGAAGCAGAGAAAATCAAACCAGATCTCCTTTTTTTTTTTTTGAGAGCAAAGAGTCGAAAACCAATTGATGGGAAATTAATCTGTTACCTGTTTTGATTTTTGAGTCGTTAAAGTAATTCATTATATCGATATTTCCAGTTGTCCCTTGACTTGATACTTTTGAGATTTTTATGTTCTGGGACACTGTATCTAGTAAAATCTAGCATAGATGAAAAAAGTATGCCTTTTGTCTGATAGCTGGGAAACAGGATAATGTGTTAGGGGGTATCTTGACAGGCAGCATGCATTCAGATGAAATAATTATAGGAAAGCGAAAGATTTAAGTTGAGAATATGGAAATTTGGTTTCCTAAAACTATGTATTCTGGGAATTCTTTGAGTACCAAAAGGGATATATATCCCCAAAAGAAAAACTGCTGGGCCAAATAAATTCTGACATCGGTGTTAATACAGAGATTCTTCGGATGTGTAGTCAGACAACAGATCTTAGTTCCATGAAATCTTGATTAAATTTAAGAAGCCATAATAGATAGTAGTCAATAGTAAAGGTCTTAAAGCTGGATAAATATGACATTAAATTAATATTTTTACTCTGTGAATTTAAAGTCTATGACTTGGTTTTCTTACTTTAAAATTTGAAATAATAATCTCATGAGATTATTGAAAGAATTAAATGTTGCAATGCAGAAAAACCTTCAAAAAACCAAAAGTCCTTGTTATTAAGTAAATATTCTAGGAAAGGTTAGCTATGGTGATGATAGTTTTGGTAATTGAAAAACTCAAAGCTTATTACTTCAGAAACACTGCAACAATGCAATAACTAAACAGCCTACACGGATGCTCAAGGTATTTCTATCATAAACATTCTAGGAAAAGTATCCTTTCCTCAGTGTATTACTGCAGCTTAAACTAAGTCCTTAGAGAATTATTTTTCATTTCCCAGTTATAAAAATTATTATTTTCATACATGTTTATAAAATATGTTTTTGTTGTCATGTGGCTCATAGCGACCCTATGTACAAGAGCCCTAAACCCTGCTCTATCCTGTGCCAACTTCACTTTTTCTGACACACCTACTTCCATTACCCCGATCACTGAATCGATGTATCTTGAGAGTCTTCCTGTCTTGTGTTGTCCCTCCACACTCCCAAACATGACATCCTTCTCTAAGAACTGGTTCCTTCTTGAACGTGTCCAAATGTCAGATGAAGTTTCAGAATCCTTGCCTCCAAGGAGCAGCCTGGTTTCACCCTCTCAAAGACAAACCTGTTTGTTCTAGCAGTCCATGGTATATTGAACACTCTTCTCCAGCACCACAGGTCAAAGGCATCAACTCTCTTTCTATCATACCTAGTCACTGTCCAGCTCTCCGATGCATAGCACACAATTGTGAAGACTATAGTCTGGGTCAGGCATACCTTAGTCTCCAGCCTGACATCGTTGCCCTTCAGTACTCAGGAGAGGTCCCTGACAGCAGACTTTCCCAATGCAATTCATCTCTTGATTTCCTGGCTGCTGGTACCAAGCAAGATTGTTAATAATCTCAATCTCTTTGCCATCTAGAATGATGTTGTTAGTTGGCCCAGTGGTGAGATTCTTTGTTTTCTTGATGTTGAGCTTCAATCCAGTGTTTCAGGTCCTCCTCAGTTTGAGCAAGCAGTGTTGTTCATCTGCATAACGCAGATTGTTGGTGAATCTTTCACCAATCCTGATGCCACATGCCTCCTCGTACAACCCAGTATCCCAGGTGATCTGTTCTGCAGACAGATTGAAAAGGTACAGAGACAGAATACATCTCTGGCAGACACCCTTCCTAATTTTGAACCATGCTTTGTCTCTTTGCTCTGTTCTGATGACTGTCTCTTGGATCAAGTATTAGGTTTTCAAAATTATGTGAAGTTCTTGAGACATACAGATTATAAAGGAGAATTCTTCCTGTAGAGTATAAAAAATAAGCACATTTGCAAATATGTTATCACATATGCTACATTACAAGAGTACAGTGCACAGTATAGATTAAGAGCACAAAGGACTTTAACTTCATCTGAATTGAGTTGAATAGGGTTGAACAGAATGGAAGCTATCTTTGGGAAAGTGGTTTTTATTTGATACTCAAAGGAAAAAATAGAAATTCATTATGCTGACAAAGGTGGAAAAGGTATGATTAGTATATGAGACAGAGGGCAATAAATATTATTTGGGATCTTCTATCTAGTGCTATATATGCAGTTTAATAGGATGGTTAGACATGAATTCATTAATGTAACATAGTAAAAGATATGACAAGAGCATTCAAACACATTTTTAAAATATTTTCAATTGATTTTTCATACTGTAGGTTTAGCTGAGCATGAAAGAAAAGATCACTGAAGACGCGACTTCTACAAGCAAGCCAGCTTTATTAAGCTGGGCTCCAGAGGGCCTTGACCCGTTTGCTGGAGAAGAGGACCAAGTGTGAGGGTGCTTTTATACCATAACGGGAGTTATATAGAAGATCTCCTGTTCTAGTACCCACCTCAACACCCTGATGATTCAAACAGAGGGTGTGATTGGTATCAATGGAGCTTTGATCTTCACCATTGCTTCCTACACCTGTATCATCACAGCAGTCCTCCGGATTCCCTCGGCCAATGGCAAGTGGAAAGCTTTTTCTACCTGTGGATCCCACCTCACTGTGGTGGCCATATTTTATGGCACTCTCACATGGGTCTACTTCCGACCTCTTTCCAGCTACTCTGTGGCCCAGGCTCGAATTGTGACTGTCATGTACACAGTGGTGACACCCATGCTGAATCCCTTCATCTATAGCCTGAGGAATGGAGATGTCAAGGTTACCTTTAGTCAATGGGTGAGTAAATTATGAGCTCCTTCTTTCAGGTAAAATCATTATCTTAAGCTTACTCTGGGAATCTAGGAAAACATATTACAGAGTGATTGATGATCACTCAGATATACTAGTGATTACTGATATCTGAAATATCAGTATCACTCAGGTTATAAAGATGCAGGCAAAAATAAATGGATTGACTTATGGAAAAATAAGTCTATTTAAAGGATATTATGTAGCTTAGAAATTGGCAAAAAAATCTAGAAAATAATGTTTTATTAAAAATGGACATGGACCAAAAGGATAAAATAATGACTGGAATCATAATGACACCCTAGTAGGAACATCACTCTAGTCATCACACTCTGTTCAATACAGGTTGTATCTCTAACACCACCACCGGGAATATTCAATAGACATGTTCCCTGAACTGGATGGCCTAAAGACCTGGATGTAATGAACTTCAGAAAGAGTGTCAGCTGCAATTCTCCATATAATTCCTCTAGACTCAAAATGAAGTAGCGTAGATTATGGGCCAAGTCTTTTTCTAGATACCAAAGAATCTGGTGATCAAAACAATGATTTTATTTTCTGTGCATTATTATACATTTGTTATTCCAAGAAAAGATTAGATAGTGACAAATACTGTAATTTAAAAAGTATTTTAGCAGGCCATGGTCTTCACAATTACCTGTTTGCTATGCATCAGTGAGCTGGGCAATGACCAAAGAGGACAGCAGAAGAATTGATGTCTTTGAGTTGTGGTGCTAGAGAATAGTATTGAACATATTACAGGTCTGTCCTGGAGAGGGAGAAGCCAAGCTGTCCTTTGGAGGCAAGGATTTTGAGGGCCTGTCTCATAGACTTTGGGCATTTTGCCAGGAGGGACCAGTCCCTGATGAAGAACATCATGCTTGGAAGGGTGGAGGGACAGTGCTGGAGAGGAAGACCCTAGATGAGATGGATTGACACAGTAACTGGGGTAATGAGTGTAGGTGTGTCAGGGACAGTGAAATTGGTCCAAGATAGAGCAGATTTTAGAGAGATGGAGCATAGGGTCTCTGTGAGTCACAGGAGACTCAACAGCAAATAACAACAGTGAGGTCAGGGGTTATATATGTTCCTGAATTAAACACTGTCTGTTCTCCAACTTGTGTTTTTGTGATTTTCACTGGTCACAACATTCAGGATTGACTTAACTTCATCTTTTCTCAACATGCAGAGGAGCTGAGATGTGGTCTACTGAGTACTTTGTTCACCAAAGAATCAAAGGACAAGATGCTCAGAGCTCATACATGTAGCGTTGAAGAGGTAAGATTTTCTAGGATGCAGTGACTCAAGTTGCAAGTACAAGACTGATTTATTCCATATAGCTAGAAAAAGCTTCTTTTACAGGATATGCAAGGTTTATGGCATTGTGTGCAGAAGAAACTAAATTTAGGGAAATTTTTATTAGTATTTTTCTCTAGTAAATGCATCTTATAGCATCTATACAAATCTTAGTTTCAAAAAATAAAATTGATTACAGAAGTTACACACCTGCAGTGTACTGGGTATATTGTTCAAAATGGCTTTTCTAAGCCATTGCTCCTGACTTCACCATCTAGTTAGGCAGAAACATGAAGAGAAAATGTTTTAAGCCTATCCAGCAAAGGATAGGCTAGTTTTCCCTTTCCATCAGGTTTAAATTGAGTAGGTTCAGCAGAAGAAATTTGGGAATCTTACTATCAGCAAAGAAAAAAAACCAAAAAGAATGTGTCAGCCAGAACTATATGAGAGCAGAAACTGCTTCAGCAGAAAAGCAGAGGACCAATGTGTGACAGCTGACCTGGGACCGCTGCCTCATGGAACCATAGCTACTGGCCTTTCTCCAAGCTTACTGGAGGACTTCGGAAGGAGGTGGCAGAGACACTGTAAGTGGCAGCACTGAAAGCTTTGTAACACTGGCCCCAAGGCTGAAAGGCCTGTGAGCGTTTTTTAGAAGCTTCCTAACTAAAAAATTGTATCCTATTGTCAACTTGACCTGTAACCTGTTAACTCCCCCAAGAGACCCCATAATCATGAGTATGTTTCTGTGAAGTCTGTGTAGCAATTGTAACATATTTTGTACTTAGTAGAAAATAGTGTAGGAGTATAGGGGTCATATCTAACTCCATGGTAATTGGTTTGTGTTGTAGATGCTGTTAATGAGGGACAGTTCCCCCTTGTAGAGCCCATAGTGATCAGACGTGGCCATCCCCACACTATCCTCATTCTTAGTACCTAAATATTTAGTAGTACTAGGTAAAAAAAATTCTTCCAAAGTAAAAAGGACCCTGATACTTATAACATTCAAAGCAGAAACACAACATTTATAAGGAAGTCATATCTATCAATGATATGCTAAGGGAACTCCGTTGGCCTAGTGGCAAGAAGTTGAACTGTCAAGGGAGGCAGTTTTAATCTACCAGCTGTACAGGAGAAAGGTCATTCTCCCCCTCTGTGATTTACTAACTCTGTAAATCCACTGGAAGGTGTCAGTTGTGAATCAGTTCTAACTTAATGACACATAAGAACAACAATGACCACCACAACAAGATAAAGGTAAATAATCCAATAGAAAAATAGGCACAGAATATGAATAGGCACTTCACTGAAGATGACATTCAGATGGCTAACAAGCCCATGAAGAAATGTTCAAAATCCCTAGCTCTAAGAGAGATGCAAATCAAAACAAC